CCTTCCTTCCTTCCTTCCTTCCTTCCTTCCTTCCTTCCTTCCTTTCTTTCTTTCTTTCTTTCTTTTACCATTTTTCTTGAGAGCAAGGAAAACACAGGACAGTCATCCTTCGTAGCGTTCAGCTAGTCCTCAACTTACGGTGCTTAATTTAGTGACCATTCGAAGTTACAATGGCCACTGGGGGGAAAAACGTGATTTAGGGTTGACTGTTTCTCTCCCTTACAGCCATTGCAGCATTCAAAATTCAGATGTTTGGCAACTGACTCACCTTTGTGACGCTTTTGCCACGTCCTTTTGTGACATTCTGACCTGGGAAGCCAGATTCCTTTCACAGCCACATTCCTCACCGAACTGGCAGTGATTCGCTTAACGACGGGGGCAAGAAGGGCCGTAAAATGGAGGCAACACTCCCTTCATGAATGTCTCACTTTGCAACACAACTTAGCAACACAAATGAATAGCAACGGCCCTTAAACCTTACATACTGCTTCGCACTGCCTTACAGCCCTCTCTAAGAGATTTACAGGGTCAGCCTGTTCCCCCTCCCCCCATCTGGCTCCTCATTTTGGTGACCACGGAAGGATGGGAGGCCACATCTGCCTTGAGCCAGTGAGACTAGTTTCATCGAACTGCTGGCTGTCGGCAGTCGGCAGAACTAGCGTGCCATAACTGCCTTCTTAACCGCTGCGGCTCTTAAATTACGAATCGATTAATGATGCATTCATTGAAACGATTGGCTCAACTGTGATTGTAAGTCGAGAACTACCTGAATTGATTTTTTTTAAAAAATATGTCCAATCATAGTTGGGGCTAGGTCTTATAGAACGAAGTGTGACAATAATAAAAATGGGGAAAGTTTGGAGGTTTGGAGGCAGTCCAAAAAGTCAAGATGGCACCCGCGGGAGCCTGATGTACATCCAAAGGGGCTTTAGTGGCGCAGGGGCCTCTTGTGGTCCACCAGCTGCCAGCAGAGCTGGCAGCAGACTCGGACAGTGAGGAGATTGGGGAAGAGCTTGGGCTAGTCCTGGAGTCTGGAGAAGGCTGTGATGGAGGCTCTGCATCGTAAGCAGAGATGGGGCCAGCGCCATCCCAACATTTCCCAGCTGCCTACGGAGTCAGGGATAAGTGGGGAAAAAGAAGAGCCAGAGCCTTTTCCAGATGCGCGTATGTGCAGAGCTGTCAGGAGAGGAAAACAATTAAGGAACAGGGGCCAACTTGGAAAGAAAGGCACCCGTGGACATTGAATGGACTCTCCCCGGGGAATAAATAGAAGCAAAAGCAGGAATGGTTGTTGCAGAAGACAATAGTTCATATTTCTTTAGGAAGATTTGTTTATCAGGCTTCGTGCCTCACACAGACTCCTTGTCAGGAATGTAATTTACAGGGGTGGGATTCCTCCAGATCAGATAGTTTTTGCCCTCCCAGAGTCCTGAGGGAAGCCTCCGGACTCTGGGGAAAGTGAAAAAAACGGCCAAACCAAAAGTTATGGTAGGCCATGCCCACCATGGGCAGCGAACCAGTTGCTGGGATTTTTGAATCCCACCCCTGCTGCTAAGTCTGGGTCAGAACAGGGCCATCTTGATTTTTGATGGCCAGCGACACCTCGCGGATACTACCTGAAAAAGAAGTAAGCCAAAGGGTGGCTGTGCTATCGCTGCCGCCATTCCGGAGCTGAGATTTGGAGTCGGTTGCTAGGTAACCATTTTTAGGTGGGGAGGGGGGCATTGAGAAGACATGGGGGAGAAATCTAATGATGATTTTCTGTCTCTCCCCCCCCCACCCTGTGATGAGGTGTTCTCTTTCCTGCAGCAGAAGTTGGCATCCGGATGGTGGACGACGGTGAGGGCAGAGGGGAGACGGGGCCCTCTGCAATGCCCCCTGGGAAGAAAAAGAAAGGACGGCCCCGGACCACCAACCCAGTCCCCAAGCCTGAAAGCAAAGCTCCCCCTCGGGTGACGCTGAAGATGAACCCACCAAAGTGTCCCGAGTGTGGTAAAAGCTTCCTCAGTAACGTGGCCATGACCATTCACATCCGGACGCACACTGGGGAACGTCCGTTCAAATGCCACCTCTGCCCCAAGGCCTTCCCTTCCCGGGGGGACCTCAAGAGACACATCAAGACCCACCTGCGGAAGAAGCCACCCCCACCGGTGATGCCCCGCAGCGGCTCCTCAAAAAAGAGCTTGGCGGCTAAGATGCAGCTGCAGTGTCACCTACGCTGCCCTCCAGATCCAAAGAAGCCTCACAGCTGCACACAGTGCGGGAAGAGCTTCAACAAGAAGCAGAGCCTGCGCAAGCACCAGGGGACACACTCCACGGAGCGGCCCTTCGCCTGCCTGGAGTGTGGGCGCAGCTTCCGGCTCAAGCAGATCCTGGTGGCGCACATGGCCTCGCACATCAAAGAGCGGCCCTTCGCCTGTGAGCAGTGCGGGAAGTGCTTTGCCCAGGAGCGCAATGTGCGCAGCCACCAGCGGGTGCACACTGGGGAGAAGCCCTTCCTCTGCATGGCATGCGGGAAGCGATTCGGCTACAAGCAGCACCTGGTCAAGCACCTGCGCTTCCACACCGGCGAGCGGCCCTACAGCTGCCCCGAGTGTGGGAAGACCTTCCGAGACAAGACCACACTGAACATCCACTACCGCATGCACACCGGCGAGCGGCCGTACCGTTGCCCGTTCTGCAGCAAGACCTGCCGGCAAAAGCAACATCTCAACAGCCACCTGAAGGTCCACCGTGGGGAGAAGCTGCCCCCAGGGGACACCACCGGGCTCACGCTGCAGAGGGCCCGTGCCAAGGAGAAGCCATACGAGTGTCCGCAGTGTCAGAAGCGCTTCCGGGACAAGAAGATCATGCTGGTGCACAAGAAGACCCACAGGGAGGAACCATTGCCACGGAGTGCCCCACTGCAGAAAAAGTGGGGCCCAGTTGTGGCAGATAGAAAGGCCCCCAGGGCAGGCCAAGGGGCAGGGAGGAAGAAGAAGGATGCGGGGCTCACCTCGGGAATGGCGTCCATCCCACCGAAGATGGTTCCCATTAGTTGCACCGACTGCGGGAGGCGGTTCACGCAGAAGAAGTACCTGACACTGCACCAGAGGAGCCACAGGTGAGCTGCTTCCCGTAGGAATGTCATCTTCCATGAGGACCCTCGGATGATGGGACCTGCTGGAAAAAAAAGAAACTTTTGCACGGCAGCCATTGCGGAGAACCTGCCAGTTTGGGACGTGTTCTGCGCAGAACTGTGTAGACTCGGCACTGCAAGTAAAGTCTCTTTATTGCTGATGGTGGAACTGTTTCACCTGTGGCACTGCTTGGAAAAGAAGCACCCCTCCCCCACTCCTCCAGGAGTGAAATCCTCCAGCTTTTATTCCTGTCCTGCTAGATAAAGGGACAGCCGGCTGTTCTTCTCCCAGTCTTGAGAGCAGGCAGTAGGTTTCAGCCCTGTGTATCTGTGTGTGTGTCTGTCTCCTCTGAGCAACCAGGACCATCAAGATGAGCCTGGATTGGGTGACTGGGTCAAGCCTTCAGAAGGGCGTAACGCTCAGCTCAAAGCCCCCTCCCCGCGCCCCAAAAAACCTGAAGGGAACATTGTCTTACTTGATCTATGAAAACTTTAGTGGCCATCCCAGTGGTGTTTCTCCCTAAATACAGGTAACCCTCAGCATACAACAGTTGGTTTAGCGACCGTTCAAAGCAGGGGTGGTACGCTACCAGTTTGGCCCAGTTCGGCTGATCCGGTAGCTCCGACGATCAGCTGTTTGGCTCACACACCTGCCCAGGTTCTAGGCTGTGCTTTATACCTTGTTTTTCAAGCTCAGCTGATTGCTGCCCGTTCGGCTGCTTCATGCCCAGCGATTGCTGGGGTTAGCAAACGTGGAGCACGTGCTCCCCAAATTGGTCGGGAACATTTTTTTGAAAAACCACCACTGGTTCAAAGTTTTCTGATCCACAGAGTCAAGGGGGTGGCTGTCAGGATTCCAGCAGTTCCCCCCATTTAAATCCAGAGTCTCGAGCCAAACTTCCAAAACTTCCAAAGGATTTATGGGGAGTGAACATGTCCGGCACTGCCTGGGTGTAGCCGACTCTGAGGCGCATCATTCCTTGTCCCCCTTGACCCTGGTTTCCCCCCACCCCCCACCCCCGGGTGTATCATAATTTATATCCTCCAATGGGACACCTCCATAGCCCAGAGTCATCCATCATGCTCTCCAGTTAGGATTTTGTGCAGCAGAAACTTCAGTCACCTAGTTATTATCTCTGAAAACATTTATGGAATGCTGTTTTGGTTTGCAAACTGCCACACTGCTCCCCCTCCCTTTCTGTTGGCAACTCTAAAAAGACCATAGAGATAGTTGATGAGTTGCCAGTTGCCAGATCACCTCTTAACAACTGTGTTATTAACTAAACAACTGCTGCGATTCAAGTTAACGGTGGCAAGAAAGGTCGTCGCACCAACTTAACCAATGTCCTGCTTAACCACAGAAATTCAGGGCTCCATTTGTGGTCATACTTTGAGGACTACCTGTATGCCAAAGGGTCCTTTATTCCTGCAAATGCCCTCTGATGTAGCTTTGCCATTCCCCGCACCCGAGAAGGTTTTTGGGATCCTGAGATTTTTGCTTTGTGAGAAATTGCCGCAACTTTACCCCGATACAGGAACTTGTGTGTGGTTCACCAAAGAATCACATTTTGAATGTGTAATAAAACAGAATATGGAAGAGGAGGAAGAGCAGGAGGAGGATTGTGGGGTCCCTGGTGCTCTCTGACTTGGGTGGTTTTGTTGCAGATGTTTCATGACCCAACTAGGGAACGTCATCAGTGCTAGAAGGGAGTGGGAGGTTGAAACGGGAGCAGGAGGAGAGGGAGGGGGAGGAAGAAAGAAAGATAATCACCCTGAAACAAAAGGACGAGTCGAGCACCCAAATCTGTTGATGACTGCCTGGGAGAATTGCGTGGTGTGTTCCCAAGGATGGTTGATCCCCAGATCCATTTTCAAAGGGGTATCGGATGCCAAAAACCCGGGTGCAAGAAAAGGGCCCGTCTGCCCCTCCTTTGCAGGGAGCCATTCCAGCCACAACGAATGAAAGAAAGGGAGGTCATGTAGTCCAACTCCCTGCTTGAGCAGGAGATCTTTACAGAATGACAGAGTTGGAAGGGACCTCGGAGGTCATCTAGCCCAACCCTCTGCTCAAGCAGCCCACCCTATACCATTTCAGACAAATCATTGTCTAGTCTCCTCTCAAAAATATCCTGGGGGTTGTTTGGTGCTCTCTGAGCTTCGTGGTTTTTCTTGCCAATGTTACACTACCACACTAGGTAACATTATCAGCGTAAGAAAGGTGTTGGCGATCTATTTTATGCCACTGATGATGTTACCCAGTTGGGTCATGAGACATCAGCAAGAAAACAACCCGTTCCGGAGGGGTAGCAAAGTTTGGTTGAATGACCGTAGGACTCGCTTAACACACTGCATTGTTTAGCGACCAAAATTCTGCGCCCAATTGTAGGTGTACAATCAAGGGCTATCTTGATTGTTGAACGTTCTGGACTGTCTTCCAGGGCAGCCCCACCTAGAGCGCATTATAGTAGTCCAGCCATAATGGGGTATTAGTGTGTTTGAAGGGCCCTCCAATTTAGAAGAGGGGGCAGGGCAATGGATCCAAGAAGATCCTCTGCCCCAAATTGGTCATGCCCACCTCCCCATCCAAAGAAAAATGGAATATCCCCAAATCTGGGCAGGCCAGACACCCCCTTCCATTGGTCGGCAATGACTCTTCCTCATCCAAACCAGTGTTTCCATAGCAATTCTAAGACGGGTGGACTTCGATTTCCAGCATTCCCCAACCAGCATGAATTCTGGGAATGGAAGCCATGTTAAAAGCATGCCGGCTGAGGAATGCTGGGAGTTGAAGTCCACCTGCTTTAAAATGGCTGAGATGAAGGAAGACTTTTTTTGCAGGCACCGAGCGAGAAACAAAAGAATGGCGCTGAATTGAATTACACACTCGGAAATCAGCTGTTTTGTTGCCCGTTTGTGGTTGTTGGGAAGGGGAACCAAACTTTGGGTCGGAGACCCAGACCGCTTCATCGATGGGCCAAAAGGAGGGGCAACAAGACAAGGACAACTTTGCAGGACTGAGGCCCAAATGGGGCCCTTTTTTAAAAAAGCAGGCGCTGTTGCGGTCGCCAAATTCTCCCGCAGCTGAAAGAAAGGCTGAAAAATTATGGTATAACCCATAACGATGATACACCAATTATTCCAAATATATGAAATCATTTTCTCCCATTGTATTAAAAATTGCTATTCAAGAAGCAATTGGTGGGGAAAATTTTTTCAGGGGGTGGGTGGGCGGGTCAATTTTGCCTTTTGGGTTGCAGCGATCTGAATGAAATTTGGACAGCGACAGCGCCTTCGTTGCGACGTCAATGTGCCCTTTTTCTGGAATCATTTCCCCCATCCATGCCTGGCTCAGACGCATTTGGCCTTCCCCATTAGGATACAAGCAGTCCTCGACTTACAACAGTTCCATTAGTGACTGTCCAAAGTTATGACAACCCTGGAAAAAAAAACCTCTGTCTCTCACACTTACGACTGTTGCACTGTGCCCGTGATCGCGTGAGCAATATTCAGACACTGCTCGTATTTATGATGGTTGCAATGTCCCTGGGAGGGGGTGGGTGTCACACGATTCCTTTTTGCGACCATCTGGTGAACCGAATGAAGGGGAAAGCCAGATTCGCTTCAACAACTGCAGCAATTCACCTAACAGCTGTGGCCAGACAGGTCGTCCGATGGGGCAAAATCCACTTAACAACTGTACCTCGCTTAGTAACATAAATCCAGGGTCCCTTGTGGTTGAAGACTATCTGTGACCCTTCCTCGTTGTTCCAAGTTTAGCCACAGAAATGTTGGGCTCAATTGTCGTAAGTCGAGGACTACCTATTAAACCAAGTTTAATCATAGCCTCTGCCTGTTAGGGATCCACCACCCCGCCTACTCAAGATGGCTGAATTCTGCCACTGGTTGGCCAAAGGGACGTTGGCCACGCAGAGTCCTTGGCACCTGCCCTTCCCTCCAGGGTGGTTGGCTTCTCCAGGTGCGGCGCCTGGCAGGACGGTCAACGGGTGGGAAGGGGGGAGACTTGAAGCAGCTTCTAGTTGACCCCGCTCCAAAGCCACAGCCACAACCATCTCCCCCAACCCTTCCTCCTTCCCTCCTGACTTCTTTCTGTTTCCTTCTTTAATTCCTTCCACCTCTGCCCTGTTTCCTTCCTTCCTTCCTTTTCTCTTTCTTTTCTGTCTTCCCTCCCTCCCTCCCTCTTTCTATTTCCTTCTTTCCTTCCACCTCTGCCATTTCCTTCTTTCATTTTTATCTTTTTTCTTTCTCCCTCCATCCCATCCATTCTTTCTTTTTCCTTCTTTCCTTCCTTCCACTGCCGTTTCCTTCCTTTCTCTTCTTTTCTTTCCGCCCTCCCTCCTATCCTTTCTTTTTCCTCCCTCCCTCTGTCCCTTCCACCTCTGACCTGTTTCTTCCTTCCTTACTTCTTTCTTTCCTTTTCTCTCTTTTTCTTCCTCCCTCCCTCCCCTCCTTCCAGCTCCTCTTTTTCCTCCCTCCCTCCTTCATTTCCTTCCATGAAACGGAAGTACTGCTGAGGATTCCTGGTCAAAGAAAGGGCAACAGATCGGAGTATTTGCAATCACCCCTCCCGCTTCTCCTTGTAGGAAGAGGAGCCACAGAGCCCCTCTCTTCCCTTCCTGAAACAATCAGAATAAAGCTGGAAGGGACCCTGGAGGTCTTCTAGTCCACCCTTGTGCTCAAGCAAGAGACCCTTACTGAACCATACAGTAGCAGAGTTGGGAGGGACTTTTGAGGTCTTCTAGTCCAACCCCCTGCCCATGCAGGAGACCCTTATGGAATGACAGAGTTGGAAGAGACCATCTCAGAGGTCTTCTCGTCCAACCCCCCGTTCAAGCAGGAAGCCCTCTTGCATTTCAAGCCCCCTTTCTGGCTTCCTTGCCTATGGCAGGCCTGGGGAAAGGGAAAGGTTCCCCTCGCACATCCGTACTAGTTGTTTCCAGCTCTAGGGGGCGCTGCACGTCTCCGTTACAAAGCCGAATAGCCAGTGTCGTCCGTGGTCATGTGGCCTGCAGGACTAAATGCTGCCGAAGGCGCAGGGAACGCTGTTACCTTCCCACCAAAGGGGTTCCTCTTTTTCTACTTGCATTTTTTATGTGCTTCCGAACTGTTGGCAAGAAGCTGGGACAAGATAATGGGAGCTCCCTCCGTGATGCGGCGCTGGGGATTCAAACCGCCGAACTGCCAACCTTTCTGATCGACAAGCTCAGTGTCTCAGCCACTGAGTCTCCATGTCCCTAGGTCCTCTTTATTATTCTCATTATATAAAATTGTGTATTTTATTAATCGCCCTCTCTCTAGTGTCCATCCCTATTCTAACTTTGATTATGTCACTACTGTATTTAACCATATTCCCTTTCTAACTATCATCTCTTAATCGCTTTAAAACTTTAAGTGTGCATTTCTTAGCTTGCCTCCCATATTCCTCTCTTGGATCTTTATTTCTGCTTAAATACCAACGTATTTCTGAGCTGGATTCTTATCCACTGAACCACCGCGTCCCCTGGTCATCCCCTGGCACATCTGGCCATCTCTTCCCCCCCATAAAATCTCATGGTCCTGCGACTTCCAGTTTGAAGGGCTTCGGCGACAGACAAGAATCCACGATCGTGCGTGGTTTCTGCCTGGGCTCGCCGCTGGAGCGCCCCGAGCCGGCTGGCTTCGGGGCTAAGCCACCCTGTAGAGGTGGTGAAGAGGGGGGAGATTGCTAGCAAGGTCGAGGAGAGCTGCATCTCTCCTCCTCAGCTGGCCAAACTCCCTTTCCCAAGGGCTGTAGGAGCGGCGTTCAGAAATGGCCGCCTCAAAGAAGAGCTCAACCGGAAAAGAAAGTGCAGGAGGAAGATAAGAAGTGAAAGTTTTGGCTGACCGGGTTAAGCTGAAAAAACAATTAAGGTACCCTGGAATTTAAATTTTACAAAAGACAACATCGCTCCCAAAGAAGGTCGGAAGAAGCGAAAGAAAGTGAAAAGGGAAAGGGTTTTTTTCTTCTCTCTCCTTCCTTACATTGACAACTAAGAGATCGGAATAAGAAATCGGAAAAATCCACTTTGGCATTAATAGGCAAAATATAACTAAATGCCAAAGAGACAATAAAGATTTCTGGACATTAAAAACTTCTTCTATAAGCAGGAAGGGAGAGGAAAAGAATAAGGGTAGGATCTGGAGGGAGGAGACTGCCTGGACTTCAAAAGAATCTCAAGTAAAACTTCAACAAGACATCTAAAAGATACATTTTAACTGAAACTTTGCAACTAAATATAACCCCAGGAAGAGAAAGTGTAAAAAGAAACAGCTGTGTGTATTTGGACTGTCTGGTGACTTTTGGATTTTTGGTTATTATATTTGAATGACTAAAATTAATTGGGTGGTTGTTTAAATTTTTTTTACAATGGCATCACTTCTGGATGAATTGAAAATGGAACTTAAAAAATACAAAGAAGAGGCACAAGAAGGGAAGGGCTCTTTTGGCTTCATTTTTCAATTCTTAGAAATGGAGATTTGCAACTACGAGAAGCAACAAGAAAAGACTGCAAAACAAGAAGACTGGGACAAAGAAGAAGCCATCTTTAATGAACAAGTAATTCTATGTGGGGAAGAAAGGGGAAAGCGGGGAAAGAGAATGGAGAATTTAAGACCTAAAAACACAGCCAAAGAAGGGAAAAATAATTTGAAAAGTGGATATAATATTGGAAAGCAACAGAAAAGGGGAATACAGAAGAGGGAAATGGAGGTGGAGAGACAGGGGGGTAAAAAGGGGAGAGAGAAGAAGAGAGGGAAGAAGGAAAGGAAGAGAAGTTATAAAGGTTTGGAGCAAGATGTAAAGAAACAGGACCTATGTAGAGATAATGAGTGAAAATCTAAGTGAAAAAGGGATTCTGTGAAGGTACATAAGATTGTATTGTTATGAATTCGCGGAAACTTCCAGTTTGCAGGGCTTCGGTGGCAGGCAGGAATCCGCGATCATGCGTGTTTTCTGCCTGGGCTCGCTGCTGGAGTGCCCGAGCCAGCTGGCTTTGGGGCTAAGCTACCCTGTAGAGGTGGTGAAGAGGGGGGAGATTGCCAGCAGGGTCGAGGAAAGCCGCATCTTTCCTCCTCAGCTGGCCAAACTCCCTTTCCCGAAGGCAGTAGGAGCGGCGGTCAGAAATGGCCGCCTCAAAGAAGCACTCAACTGGAAAAGAAAGTGCAGGAGGAAGATAAGAAGCGAAAGTTTTGGCTGACCAGGATAAAAAGCAATAACTAAGGTACCCTGGAATTTACATTTTATAAAAGATAACATCGCTCCCAAAGAAGAGTCGGAAGCAGCGAAAGAAAGTGAAAAGGGAAAGTTTTTTTTTCTTCACTCTCCTTCCTCACATTGACAACGAAGAGAGCTGAATGAGAAATCAGAAAAATCCGCTTTGGCGCCAATAGGCAATTAAACCGAAAATATAATTAAATGCCAAGGGGATAAAAAAGGTTTCTGGGCACTAAAAAATCTTTTTTTTGCTATAAGTGTGAAGGGAGAGGAAAAGAATAAGGGCAGGATTTGGAAGAAGGAGACTGCCTGGAATTTAAAAGAATCCAAAGTTAAATCCTAACAAGACTTCTAAAAGATACATTTCAACTGGAACTTTGCAACTAAATAGTAACCCCAGGAAGAGAAAGTGAAAAAAGAAGAAAGTGTAAAAAGAAACAGCTTGTGTGTATTTGGATTGCTTGGTGACTTTGGGACTTCTGGAAATTATATTTGAATGACTAAAAACAACTGGGTGGTTGTTTAAAAAATTCTACAATGGCATCACTTTTCAATAAACTGAAAATGGAACTTAAAAAATATAAAGAAGAGACACAAGAAGGGAAGGGCTCCTTTGGCCCCATTTTTCAATTCTTAGAAATGGCGATCTGCGTCTATAAGAAACAACAAGACTGTGCAACAAGAAGATTGGGACAAAGAAGAAGCCATCTTTAATGAACAAGTAACTCTATCTGGGGAAGAAAGGGGAAAGGGGGGAAAGAGAAAGCAACAGAAAAAGGGAATACAGAAGGGGGAAATGGAGGTGGAGAGACAGGGGTGTAAAAAGGGGAGAGAGAAGAAAAAAGGGAGGGAGGAAGGGGAGAGAAGTTACAAAGGTTTGGAGCAAGATGTAAAGAAACAGGACTTATTCAGAGATAATGGGTGAAAATTTAACTGAAAAAGGGATTCTGTAAAGGTACATAAGATTGTATTGTTATATTTGTAATAGAAATAATGTTAGAAAATTGGAAACAACATATGATTTAAAAGTGGGATAAAATAGTCAGTGTAATTTAGTGAAACTTTTGTGAACAAAAAAAATAAAATAAATGAGAGAATTGAATTAGGAAGGAATGGGAACATTTTAACTACTCAATGTTTTATAAAATATAAGTGAAGTGGGGGAGAAGTAGCTATGGAAAGTTTATAAGTGTTCCCATAGAAGTATGATACATTTGAAAAATAATGTGTAAAATGTTAAGATTTAAATGAATATTAATATTAATGATAGAATAGAATTGGAACGGATTGTTGTTTTAATTATATTATATATTTATAATTTTTTCTTTTTTAAAAATACAATGTGTAGTTTTAGAATGTACCAAACAGAATCCGAACAGAAGTTATGTATTATATTAAGTGTTATAATTTTAGGGGAAAGATATAAAGGCATCATAATCCAATCAGTGATTACAGGAGAAATTTTGTTTAAAGAGAAAAGACAGTAGTCAGTTGAAACAGGACAGACAAAGAATATAAGTACAATGATTTGAATTGGGATGAAATAAATAAAATAAAATTAAGAAAGTTAAAAGAGGAGAGAAGCTATATAGAAAATGTAGAATAGTAATAAGATATGGAATGGAATATAAACATGAGCATGTCTGTACGAAGAGATGTAACCCAGGATTATGCTGCTTTCAAAAAAGATGTTTTACTTGTATTTTTTTTCTTTTTGTGAAAACTCAAATAAAACTTACAAAAAGATAAACCAAAAAACCCCTCACGTTCCTCCCTTCCCAGCGGAAATCCCAGGAGATGCGAGAAAAGAACCAGAAACTGCTCAAAATGGTTTATTGACAGGTGAAGAAGAGGAAGACTGAGCAAGGCTGGAGAATTTGCGGTGGAGTCGGTGGGCACCCCCCGTGGGCCCCCCGGTTTGGATCCGCGGTGGAACGGGAGAGGTCAACGTTTGGAGAGGTCACCGCCTGAAATGAAAAGACAGGAAGCCGGGAGGTGGGGTCCCGGGAGGGCAGCATGGAAAGCGGGACTCCCCGAGCACCGTTTTCCATGGCAGAAGACTTCTGCAGGCCGTCCCACCCAGCGGAGAACCGCTACCTTGGCAGCTGCTGCATTCACAGCCGCGGATAACCGGCAAGACCACAGGCTCTGTCTCGCCGCCCAGGCACTGCAAATTCAGGATGCGCACCGGACTGACCGGGTCCAGTCGGTAGCTGCAACAGTCACAGACGGTCTCCAGGTAGGGTTCCTGCAGAGGACAAACCGGGCGAGGGGTTCCTCCAGGAACTGCGGGTCGTACGAATGTCGGACGGGCTGGAGGTGGGTGGGGAACCAGGGTTGTCTTACCTCCGGGATGACGTTGGTGTGGGAGGCACACTGGCCCTTGCAAAAGCCCACCTCCACGCCGGCCAAGAAGCAGAGCCCCTTGGTAATGTTGCGACGTTCCGTGAAATGTCGGCAGTGCGGGTGAGGTTCACCTGTCGGGGCAAAGAAAGGGTGACCAGCCTGGCAGAGCCCAGGGCGAATCCGGGCACCCAGGTGGGATGGCTTAGGAGGGAGGATGGGGTCAGAATAGGCCACCTCCCCCATTGGCAGGTGGGTGGGGTCCAGGAAGGAACCAGGATTGGACGCCCCAACTTTAGGGCTTCTGGCCTGCTGACGAAAGGGACTGGTTTGATCTTTCTGGGTGCCCCGACGGCATTTCCAGTGCAGAGCAAAAGGGCCTGTCTTTCTCCCTCACCCTCCCTCCCTCCCTCCTTCCTTCCTTCCTCCTCCTGCCTTTTTTCTTTCTTTTTCCCTTCCTTCCTTCTCTCCTTCCTTCCTTGCTTCTTTCCTCCTTTCCTCCTTTCTCTTTCCCCCTTTCCTTCTTTTTCCCCCTTTCCTTCTTTTTCCTTCCTTCCTTCTTTCTTACTTTCCTCCCTCTTTCTCCTTCCTTCCCCCTTTCCTTCTTTCTTCTTCCTTCCTCAGCTTCCTTCCTTTCTGCCTCTT